ACTGGGCCAAACGGATGGTGTGGCTCCCCTGGGAACTGGGCCAAACGGATGGTGTGGCTCCCCTGTGGACTGGGCCAAACGGATGGTGTGGCTCCCCTGTGGACTGGGCCAAACGGATGGTGTGGCTCCCCTGTGGACTGGGCCAAAAAGGGGTTATTTTAATTGCCATATTGCTAAAAGCGACTCTGGAGAAAAGTGATGGATATCAACCATATTTGGTTTGGAGCTTTGTTCGGTGGTTGAGGATTCAAAATTGTACTAGTTGAAGGGCTGACCCCTGGGTCTGAAGGGCGGGGCCAAAAAGAATGTTTAGCCTGGACATTATAGAAATCTCCTCCCTATAACTTCAGGTGTAGTTCCATGAAAAGTTCAGGCGACGTATAATAATTATCCATATAAACCTGATGCCCTTTGTCTAAAAGTCCGCATCTTGACATGAGGCCAATCACTATATGTGTAGTAGTTGTGCACTCATTCTCCTCCCCAAGTATAGTGTCTGCAAAGTCTACACACGCGGAGCTTCCAGTATATACGTTAAAGCCGATACAGTATCCAGAACTTGCCTCACACACCTGGTACAGCTTCATACCGAACTTTGATAGCTTTGCGGGGTTGTAGACTCTAAAGCTTAGGTTCCCTTTCCAAGCACACGTAGCCTCATCGAAGCTAAGATTTATTTCAGGTGAATAAACATCAGAAAACCTATCCAAAACTATGTTGAGAAATGGTCTTATTTTGTAAAGGGGGTCGAATCCCACCTGTCCCCTCTGTACCTATAGATGGTTATTGTTCAGATGAAAATTATTTGGTACATCTCTGAACATGTGGTTCTTGAAAAACAGTGTTTCATGTGTTTCATCACTGAACCGATACTGCTGTAGGTCATTTTTCTGCACCAATCCCATCACAATTAACAGGGCAGTAAATACTTCTATTTCATCAACAGAAACGGGCTGCCATTTTTTCATACGACTGTGATTTTTCAGGTCTGGATTGTTTTGAGCATACATATTCGTCTCTCAGTCTGTTGTAAGTTCAATGAGAAAGGAATCATCAACAAATAGTTTGAAGAAATCTATATCGATATTGAGGGCCGGCTCAACTGTGAAAGGTGCAAGAACCACATCAACCTCGTCGCGACTCCACCCATCTTCCAGGTCAGCTGCAATGTCCCGATCGTTATCTGGAGCAAAATCGGACATCGGAATATTTGCTATGATATTCCGACAAACGTGTTGAATGTCCTCTTCTGTGAAGCCTTCGAAATCCTCATCATCATCGCTGTTGCCGAAGAACGCATCAATTGCTTCATCATCACTCCAATTGACGTTCGCCATTTTGTCTACTTTCTGTTTACATTTTTTCGCTTCTCTAATTCTACTTTTCTCTGTGAGTAAAAGTCTGAGAAAACTCAAAAAAACTGCATTATTACCCAATCAGAATCAAGTAGGAAACTATCTCCGATAGCTTTATTAGATACTAAGTCATATGCACGCATGGTAACCGGCTAAACAATCCTTTTACAGAAACGGCATATGCGGTGCGTAGCACTGACGACCCGACCCGATTTATCGAAACTGCAAATACTGCACGTAGCTGCCTAAGGGTTAGGTTGGGCATGAATCACGCAGGATTCTGCGTGATCGGGAACGCTGATGAACTCGATCAGGATATTAGTATTGACCCTTGGATCTGGCCCCACCCATGGGGATTTAATTTCTGGGTCATAACTTTGAACAATTTAGATCCTAAGCCCATAACCATACATACATTTGATAGGAATAAATAAATAAATACAGTAATGATAATATGATTGACCAATGGGTTTGGCCCTACCCTTGGAACTTCATTTCTGAGCCATAACTTTGAAACGGTTGAGATCCCCACCGCATAACCCTGTGTACCATTACTGGGTATCAAGAGACAAACGCAATAATGATATTAATATTGACTCTTTGGCATGGCCTTACCCCTAGGGACATACTTTCTGGCCATAACTTTGAAATGGTTGAGATCATAAACCCATAGCCATATATACCATTGCAGGGCATAATGATCCAGGTAAGAGATACAGGCCCTCTGGGCCTTTTGTTTTGTGTATTTGTACAAATATTTCCTTTAAGGTCACCAACAAGTGTTCTTCCAAGATGACTTCTGTAGCATCTGCTTAGAGGATACATTTGAATCATATTTAAATCACCCTGGTCCGTCTGTTGTCCGTCCATCATTCGTAAATAATTCTGGTTATCGCTATTTCTCAGAAACTACTGAAGGGATCTTTCTCAAATTTCATATGTAAGGTCCCCTTGGTCCTTTATTGTGCATAAGGCATATTGGGTCTCTTGTCTGCTTTCATACTGCAGTGAAAGTAACGGTGGTCTGATAGCCTGAGTCTATAAAAAATCTTGTCCGTCTATGTAAACTTAGATTGTGTTAGCTCAACATGCCTAGTAATTATAATAAAGTCATGGCGTGCATGTTTGTCGGTCATTAATATATTTTCATGTTGAAACACCTGCATTCCTTTTATATTTCCTGAAAGGAAAAGTATGAATTTAGCGACATTATTGTTAAGTTTATAACATTTGCTTTCTCACCAGATTATGGACAAAGAGAAGAGAGACCCTTCAGAGGAGGTGGAAATTTTGCTCAGGTTTGGCCACCATCCAAATATCATTTCTTTACGGGACGTAAGTATCTATTAAAACTTTAGTTAAAACCAACATTCTCTACTTGATCAAGCTAATTAGGGCCCCGTATCGGAGATACGGGTGCCCTATAGTAATCTGTCTGTCTGTCCACAAATTTTGTACCTGGCTGATAACTTCGATATTTATTGACTGATGTACATGAAACTTGGTAAAAATGTTCAGGTCACATACACATTGAGGTCAAGGTCAAAGGTCAAGGTCATAAGGTTCAAAGGTCAAGGTCAAATTTTACATCTTTTCACTGATAAACATTTTGTTATGACATTATGAAGCACAGTTGATCAGAATTAAACAAGGAGTCAACTGACTAAAGGTCAAGGTCATCAGGTCAGGGGACAAGGTCAAATTTTGTAGCTTTTCACTGGTGAACATTGTGCTATGACATTATGAAGCAAAGTTGTTCGGAATTAAACAAAGAGACACATAAAGGTCAAGGTCAAAGGTCAAGGTTATTAGATTCAAAGGTCAAGGTCAAATTTTGCATCTTTTCACTGATGAATATTTTGTTATGACATGATGAAGCAAAGTTGATCAGAATTAAACAAGGAGGCAACTGACCAAAGGTCAAGGTCATTGGGTCAAAGATCATATTACATTTTGTATCTTTTCACTGGTGAACATTTCGCTATGACACTTGGATACAATGTTGCTCAGAATTAAACAAGGAGTCAATTGACCAAAGGTCAAGGTCACTGGAACAAAGGTGAAGGTTAAATTTTGTACCTTTTCCCTGATGAACATTTTGTTATGACATTATGAAGCAATGTTGTTCAGAACTTAACACAGAGTCAACTGACGTTAGGTCCAGGTTACGGGAACCAAAGGGTCAAGGTCAAGTTTTTTATTGTTCACTGAAGAACATTTTGTTATGATATTAAGAAGCAAAGTTGGTCGGAATTAAAGAATAAGTCAACTGACCAAAGATCAGGGTCACTGGGTTAATTGTCAAGGTCATTTGGGTCCAAAGGTGAAAGACAAAGTGGATCTCTGACTTTGACCCTGGCTCTTGATGGAGGAGGTATATAAGGTGAAATAAAACAAATCAAAACTAACAAATGAGTGTTGCACCGGTATTTACATTTCTGTTAGCCCAGCAAATATGGAGGTGGAAGGAAACAAGAGTCGCATCATAGTACATGTAAAATGTATATTTTGGTTCCTTGCGATTCTTTTTGAAGTCCAAATGTCAAATGTCAAGCTCAGCTATATGGGCAGATTGCTTCTTGATGATTATGGGGGATATATTGCCACAAGACGGGGCCCTTACTGACCTGTCAGTGTTCTAGTTTCTTCCTTATTTAAATATGTTGACTTGACACATCTTGTACCAAGAAATATTACCATTTGAATTGATAACATTTGATTTTGCCAGGTTTTTGACAATGGGAACAAAGTGTACATGGTAACAGAACTAATGCAGGGAGGAGAGCTGTTAGACAAAATATTAAGACAACGATTTTTTTCTGAGAGAGAAGCCAGTGCCGTTTTGCAAGTTGTAGCAAAAACTGTGGAATATCTTCATTCAAATGGCGTAAGTCACTGTAGAACATTTATATCTTCCAAAAAAAAAAAAGATTTAAAATATCAACATGTTTTGTTTTAACCTTTCAATCCTTCATTTTTAGCTCACCTGGCCCTTTAAGTTAGCTTATGCCATCAACATTTTCATTTTAAAAACTTCTTCTTGATAACCACCCTAGAATGATGATATTTGGCCAGAAACATGTTGGGATGAAGGACTACCAAGTTTGTTCAAATGAATGACCTTGTCTCATATTCAAGGTCACAGGGGTCAAATATGTTGAAACCTTTAAATGACTTCTGAATAACCAAAATGTTTAGGGTGATGATATTTGGTCAGAAGCATGCTGGGATGAAGGACTACCAAGTTTGTTCAAATGAATGACCTTCACTCATATTCAAGGTCACACTTTTCACCAGGGGTCAAATAGGTCAAAAACTTAAATAAAGTATCCTAAATAAAAAATGGCTAGGATAAGGATATTTAGCCAGTAGCATGCTGGGTTCAAAGGTTTGAAAAGATTGTTAAAAATAAAGACCTTATATTATATTCAAAGTCACAGGGGTCAGATACGTTAAAAACTTGAAAAGACTTCTGAATAACCAAAATGCAATGGGTGGTGAAATGTGGCCACTAGCAAGCTCAAATAAAGAGCTATTAAGTTTGTGCATCTGAATAACCTTGACACTTTCAAGGTCACATCTAGTCATTTGTGTATAAATCTTTAAAAGTCATTTTCTCATAAACAAAAGGTATAAGGTTGTGATATTTGGCAAGTTGCATTCTGGGATAAAGGGCTATAAAGTTTGTTCAATGGTTTGTCCGTGTTTAACTTTCAATGTCACAGGGGTCACTGATTCTTTTTAATGACTTCGAGTCAAGACACTGATATTTTGCACATTAGGCCTCTTGTTTGTCATTATTTCACATGTATGTTCCCCTTATTCCCATGGCCCTAATGAGAATTCATGTCATTAATAGCACTTCTAATTATGTAAGAATTCCATTTTATTTTATTGCCAAAGGGCAAGTGAGCTTATGCCATGGTGCGGCGTCCGGCGTCCGTCTGTCTGGTGTCAACTTTTTACATCTAAACAACTTCTTCTCAATCACCAAAAGGCCCAGGGTACAGATATTAGGCCTGTAGCATGCTGGGATGAAGGGCTACAAAGTTTTGTTAAAATGAATGACCTTGACCCACTTTCAAGGTCACAGGGGTCAGATGTCTTAAAATATTCAAACAACGACTTCTCAATAACCAAAAGGCCCAGGGTACTGATAATGGGCCTGTAGCATGCTGGGATGAAGGACTACCAAGTTTGTTCAAATGAATGACCTTGATCCACTTTTAACCTGATGTCCTTGTTAGACATTCAAGGTCACAGGCGTCATATGTTTAAATCTTTTAATAGGTTCTTATGAATCAAACACTGATATTCTGTCTGTAGCTGTATTTTAGTCCACTTTTAAGATTACAAATGTGAGATTAACATCAGGTGAGCGATGCAGGCCCATTGGGCCTCTTGTTATCACCCAGAGTTTTGAAATTATAATGCAATAACTTTTGTCATAGTGGCAAATAATATTCTGAGGTTTAAGTAATTGAAGAAGATTCCTTTTCATGATTTCCAACATAGGACCGGTTTAATGTAGCTGTAAGGAAATGAATAGCAAATAAGGTAAAAGATCATATTTTGTAGATCTGATAGAGATACTTTGATGGTGGGGGCCAAGAACCTTCTAGGATCTCTTGTCAGCAATACAATTGTGTAAATATTCAAAAAGAAAAGAAAGATATAGAGGTGAATGGGGTTTGTACATTGAATAGTTTATAATAATAATAATAATATACAACATTTATAGAGCGCCCTATATAATTTGTAAAATTACTCTAAAGCCCTTTACAACATATGAATAATAGCAATGGTTATAATTGTGAAAACAAAAAACAAAGGCTTGCAATCACTTTCATACATTTAACAAGCAATGTGCACATAATTGAACAAATAAAAGGGTGGTATTTACATGACGTCTTTGCAAGGATTCTAAAACGCAGACGTGAAGAGGTGAGTTTTGATGTCCCTCTTGAACTTGGCCAGGGTATTTGACTTACTAATAGCAGATGGTAAGCTAGTCCACAACGTAGCCGAACCCTCCCAAAGCATCTGTTTCAGTAGGTCACAGTACAAGATTTTGGGACACACAACAAAGATTCTGACTCAGACTGCAGTGATCATGACGGCTGATACAGGGTAACAAGCTCCTGTAGGTACTGAGGAGCTGTTCCATTCAGTGCCTTGTATGTGTACACCAGAATTTTGTACTGCGACCTGTATCGTACAGGTAACCAGTGCAACGAATAAAGCACAGGTGTGATGTGCTCTCTCTTTAGAGTACGAGTAACTAGCCTTGCCGCAGTGTTCTGGACCCTCTGAAGACGACTAGTTAGTTTGTCAGATATACCACAGAGCAGGGCTTTACCATAATCCAACCGAGAGGTAACAAGTGAATGCACCAAAATCTTGCATGCATCTGCAGTTATAAACTGCTGAATACAGCCGATGTTCTTGATCTGGTAGGAACAGGATTTGGCAATAGCGTTCACTTGTTTCTCCATGTTCAGTGAACTATCAAAGTATACCCCTAGGTTTTTAACAGCTGGAACAGTCTCAATAGTTCTGGCACCGACCTTAAGCTTGAGAGCCATTGTTTGCTGACACTTTGGGGAAAAGGCGATTAGTTCCATCTTTTCCTGATTAAGCTTAAGCATGTTGGCGTTCATCCAGATACTGATATCTGTCAGACAAGCTTCCAGACTTTCTGAGACTGTATTCCAACTGTCTTGTGGTTTGATGACCATGTAAATTTGTGTGTCATCGTCATAGCAATGATAGCGAAGGCTATGGCGACGACAAATCTCTCCAATCGGTTTGCAGTACATACAATATTTTCGTGGTCCTAACACTGACCCTTAAGGAACCCAAAATCTAGTACTTTGTCATGTGAGGTGGCAGATCCGATGGCAACACATTGTCGTCGTTCACTCAGATAGGACTGTATCCAGCAAAGTGCAGTATCAGTCACTCCATAAGAGTATTCCAGACGTTTATAAAGTATGCCATGGTCGATGACGTCAAATGCAGCTGACAAGACCAGCATGACGAGCACCGCTCTGCACTTGTTATCCAATGCAGAAGCTATATCATCATGTACACGTTGGAGGGTCGTCTCAGTAGAGTGTCCCATGCGGTAGGTCGATTGCATGTTGTCATGGAGACTGTTTGCATGGAGATGACCCTCTAAACGCTGGGACACTACCTTCTCCAAGATCTTAGACAGAAAAGGCAGATTTGAAACTGGGCGGTAGTTTTTCAACCCCTCCTTGTCCATTCCAGGCTTCTTTAGCAATGATCTGACATGTGCCTTCTTGAAACATAATGGAACCTTTGACTCAGCCAATGGTTTGTTCATGATTCAGGTAATCAAAGGAAGCAGTGCTTCAAGACATTGCTTTAATAGGTCTGTAGGCAGTGGATCAAGCTCACAGGACTTCGATTGCGAGGTCATGATAATGTTGCGCAACTCGTCCTGGGTTGTTGGTGAGAGCTTTGCCAATGGTTACCAATCAAATGCAATGTCAGCAGTCATGACAGAGATATCAATGTCAGCAGAGGAGTTCACTTTGGCAATATTTTTCCTGATTGAGCTGATTTTATTCAGAAAGTAATCACTGAACTTGCTTGCTAAGTCTTTTTCAGAATTACAGCTCGGTAGGATAATTTCACCTTTCTGTTCCATTAGGTTTTTGGTGAGTCTAAAAAGCTGTCTATTATCCTTACTGCATTCTTTGATTCTTTCTGAATAATAAGCCTTCTTTGACTGAAAGAGTAGTGAACCAACTAGCCGACATTGCTCCCTTTAAATCTGTTGGTGAACGGTCAATTTTGTCCGTTGCTACTGTCTCTCTGCTTTTCTACGGTTCTGTTTTTCCACGCGGAGATTTTCATTATACCACGAGGCATTTGGTCTCACAGTCACCATAGTCTGCAGAGGTGCGTGTTTCTCTCTAAGGGCTTCTTTACCAGATGTGTATGCTTCAACAAGATCATCAACCTCGCCTTCAGTAGATTGAAGGGCGGAACAAAACTGAATGTCATTGTTGAAATCTGGTATTGAAATTTCGCGAAATTTCTGGAAGCTCACTTCTTTCCTTGCACGATCTTGCTTACTACAATTCAGTGTTGTGTGGAAAGCAAGGTGATCACCAGATTGGTTCCCCTTTACATCACTTAGACAAGGATCAATCACTGAAATAGCTCCATGAATGACTGAGTTATCTTCCCTAGTTATGACCACATCCAGTGTGTGGCCATGGGTGTGTGTAGCTTCTGTCACATGCTGAATCAGACCCCTGGAATCTAGTAGACCAGAAAACTGGCGAGCATCAACATTAGATAGATTGTCTATGTGGAAATTTTAGAGAGGTGAATGGGGTTTGTACATTGAATAGTTTATAGAGAGGTGAATGGGGATTGTACATTGATTAGTGTATAGAGAGGTGAATGGGGTTTTTACATTGAATAGTTTATAGAGAGAGGTGAATGGGGTTTGTACATTGAATAGTTTATAGAGAGGTGAATGGGGATTGTACATTGAATAGTTTAAATGACACATGTTTCTTATCTCCACAGTTGTACCCTTAGTTTATCTCCATTTAAATAGTTATAGAAGAAATATTTAAAAGCTATTAATGTTGCATGGGGGAAAAACATCCAGGAAAAATTTCATCTTACACTTTCTGTTATGGTAAGAGAAAATGATTTGAATAAAATTTAGAGTGTTTTAAGCTCGCCTGGTCAAAATGACATCAGATTATGCCGTTCAGCAACGTTTATCGTCTGTCAACTTTTCCTTTAGAACGCTTCTAGTCTTGAAAAGCTTCATAGATTTTGACTTAATTTGGCCTAGACATCCTTGGGAAAAGGAGACTCAATTTTGTATACACAGAG